CGCTGAGGAGCCCTGGTGGCCCAATGGTTAAGCGCCTGGCTGCTAACCAACAGGTGGGCAGTTCAAACCCACTAACAGCTCTGAGGGAGAAAAGACCTGGTGATCTGCTCCCATAAAGATTACAGCCTAGAAAACCCTATGGGGCAGTTCTACTCTGTTCTACAGGGTTGCTATGAAGCAACTCAACAGTACAAAAGGGAGTGCCTGTATAACTCATTGAAGAGGTATAAATATTGTACTGGCTTGAGGGCAAGCTGACCATCCTGTGGTACTGCCAGCATCTCTCAAGCACAAGGCTCAAGCGGTCCAGATCCTTGGGCACCCCAAATTCCATGGCAACTCCAGCAGCTGGAGCCAAGATGCCTTTGTACACACTTCATCATCCTTCTTCTGATTTGTTAAAAAAAAAAATCAAGACAGCGAAGGGAAATTGTTGGATAGTAGTAGGGAGGGTTTCCATGGACTGACAATTGACATCTATGCCCAGCCTGAAAGAGGTCTTCTCTCTTATTCACTACAGGGGAACCAAAAGGAAAATCCAATGTTTTCATTGGCTGAGCTAGAATATCACTATTTTAGCAGTCAGGTACCCAAGTGTGTGAAAATCTTTCTATAGTGGAGCATTGCTTTAAAATTTTTACAAGTCCTCATACCAGGCCTAAGAAGTGGTGTCTCTGCTCGCGTGTGGTCTGGGGTGATCTGAAGTATTTGCTCGCTTCTGCGTAAGAATGCCAGTTGTCTGAGGTGTGGAGGTGTCTTATTAATCAGGGAAATCCATCAACTGAAGTTATCGCTGTAATTGCTAATAGAAGTAACTGTCACACTGAAGAATTCCTTAGGCAAGAAGCATATATTCTCATATGAAACAGCCTGGGCTTGGCAAAGTGCAAGACTCTGGGTTCACTGGGGGAAGCTCAGCAGGTGATTCAGACATCGTGTCTATACAGCTGGGATTCCGGAGCCCTGGGTTCTAGTTCCAGCAATGCCCGTGACCCGGGGGCCCCAAATGACAGCTCTTCATCTGCAAATTAAAAAAGTGGGCATGGCATTCTCTAAGGTCTCACTCAGGTCTAAGACTCCTATACAAAAGTGTTTTAAAATTTTAGTTGGTAATTTTACCATTGAATTAGGCTGGGAGTCAGGGAGAACATCGGAAACCAGCAACAGGGAAAAGACACTCAGCCAGGGCTGCAAAATACGTTCTTACAGAGCGAGTATTTAACCTTCTCTCTGATCTGAAACACACACAGCCAGGAGAAACACTTCTGGAAGTTATTTGTAGGAGCAGATGGTATATGTAGGCTTGGGGTGGGGGCAGCCCGCGGGCCTCCCAGGTGCTTGCTCCTTCAGCCCACCCAGGCCCAGCTCCCATTTGAAAGCTATTGAACTGGGACCAAAAAAACATCATTTAAAAAACTCAAGAGGGGGTTACACGTGCAGTGTCCGAGGGCAAGGGGTGGCTGACTAGAAAAAAATAGTCACAACTCGCATTATTGATTAATTGAGTGATTTTAGTCAAGTGAATATTGATACATGACAGGAAAAGCAGGAAAATAAAATGAACACATATGGGAATTACTATTAACATAAGTGATAACATCAAAACATCTGGTAAAATGCAGTCTAAAAAAACAACACAAATGAAATGGAATGTAAAACATTTTCACAGTATTCAAAGCTTTTGGAAAAGACAGACTCTAAGAGAGCAGTCCTACATGAAGAACTAGGGGATAAAGGGATTTTGTCTGTGTCCTAGGTGACTGCTGGCGACAGGTTAGAACAGACAGTACATTATGCCACGGGAGATGACTAAGATACGCTCCTATAACAGGTCCTCTGAGACCGCCACATCTAGGGACTTACAACAGAGCAACTAGTTACTCAGAGTCTGATGAGAAAAACAGTCTCGGTTTGGACAATTGTATTTCTGTAACGTACAGATCCACATGAAAACTTGCGCTCTGGCTGGATTCTGCCTCAGGGAGAACGTGGTGCTAATCCACAGCCACCAAGAACCAAGTGTTACACAGCATATTTTAAAGATAAAATGCTCCTGCCATCTCACCTCACATTCTATCTTCTAAGATAACAACTAATACTCTTCCAAGATGCAGCTGAGTTCTGCCAACCACCTGGCAGGTCTCGACCCGAAATGATAATGTTAAACTTCGAGAAAGCTGACCTTTGCACTAGCAATGATTACCAAATCACATACTGACCTCCTCAAAACAAATGACCAAGCCAATGAGTCTGCACATTGGTTTTGTTATATCTTTCGTTGAGAAAAACAAAGGTTTACGATAAAAATGCAGCTTTTGGCCCAGAGCCTCCCTTTTCACCCTGAAATTGCTGATGGGATGTAGACAAAGCTGGTGTATGTCTAAAGTCATCATAAAGGACACAGTGGAACTCACAAGTCCAGGGCCTCTGAGGATGGGGGTCAAACATGCAGCTGCAATTCATACTTCCAATTTACGTCGAACTCTTTCTTAAAATGCCGTCACTTCCTATCTGAGAATTCCCATTTACAGAGGTGCAGAGCACGAACACCTATTCTTCCATAAAGTTCTTTCTGCTGTAACTGCTAACAGCCAGATAAGCCCATCTAATACAGCCCTGCCTCGGAAAGAGGGTGCCGTTGCGTGATGCACTTGGTCAAAACGACAAAGTGCACTGAACTCGAGTTAAGCAACTTAGACGAAGACCCAGATTCACGCGCTCATGAAATTGCTCTGAAGTTCAGCTTGACGAGAGGAAAGCAGAATAGTTCTAATTTATACATACACTTTTTAAAAAATCATCCAAAGTTACAGGCAAATCACATAAGTTCCCCCAACACAATGATTAAAGATCAGAGATAAATATTACAATGGTGTTAAAATGGTGATATCACTAATTGTGAAAGGTTAATTATGACGAGATAACTCTCATGTAGGTAACTAAGCTGGCAGGCTGATTTTCAGATTGGAATCTTCAGAAGTTACATCTTCCACTTTTTTGTGTGCAGACCAGGGTCACAGAGTGACACTTCCTAGCCTCGATGCAGCACTCAGGTTGGGTTATACACATTCACCTACAGGGACAATCACTGAAGTCTTTGAGGCGTCAGACAGAATTAAGAATCAGGCTTTTGGGAAGAAATTAGCATTAACTTTTTATAATTACTTCCTATAAACTGACCAAGAGAAATGAAGTTTTTTTAAGTGGAAAAGTTTATGTACACCACTTTTTAAACACAGGAGTCCAAGGGTGGTGCAAACAATTAATATGTTAACTGAAAGGCTGACAGTGTGAGTTCACCCAGAAGCACCTCAGAAGAAAGGCCTGGTGATCTACTTCCAAAAAATCAGCCATTGAAAACCCTATGGAACACAGTTCTAGTCTGACACACCTGGGGTCACCATGAGTTGCAATCAACTTGATGGCAACTGGTTTTTATTAAACACATGGGCTTTAAGAAATATCTTAGGGCACTTGGGAAACACTGCAGGGATGTTTTGCCTTTGACACTATCTCCTTGGATGGGGACACAGTAGTTCAACTTTCCCTCTGCAGAACTAAAAAAAAAAAAAAAAAAAGGAATTAAAAAAGTGCAGGGGGCCAGGCAAGTTGATTTTATTTTATTTTTTTGATCAATAGGCAATCAAGTCTAAAGTAATCAGCTTCCGCACAGCAAAGAAAAGAATGGTAGGCACTGTGAGTTTTGATTAGCTTTGTGTTGGGGCGAGAACAATGAAGGGGAGAGGCTAAATGAATCAGTCTCCTTATGCAGGAAAGAGGACCACACGGCTACACTATTGGGTGGGTCCACGTCCCACTAGAATGCCTAGTTGAGACTTATAGAAAGCAGTCTCAAATGGATCCAGAGACCTTGGTCTTAGTATACCTTCCAAATGCTCAATACAGACATTTTTTTTTTTAAAAACCTTGAAAAGTAAGTGGATTTTTTTTTTTTTTTTTGGTCGTTGTTCTTTAAAAAAATGTGAGGTGAACAGATGAAATTAGAACACTAAGCTCTTCACCCAATCACCCTGACCAGCAATTTGCAGGGCTCTTCTAAAACTTCTTCTCTTTTTCTTCTTTAAAGATGTGTTTTGAAAACCACTAACCACTGTCTTCTCAGTCTGAAAATTGTCGTCTCTCGCATGCCGTGGGTTTGCTGCCCGCTGTGTTTTCTTTTTCTTTACACAAAGGCAGGCATGTGCCACCCCTCCACATGTCTAGAGGTAAAAGCATGCATTAAGGCTGATGTTAACTGCCACTTACATGGCATCTGAGAACGGCTGATTCATATCACTTGGAAAGACTGACGGAAGAGCAAGCAATGACCTACCTCCTAGTTCCTTTGTTTTCACTAATATATGCTCTGCTTGAGCTTTTCTTCTTTGCACTTACTACTTTCTGGAACTGATCTTAAATTGTAAATGTGGTGTGTGTCTGTTTCTGTCTGAAACAGGCAGGAAGAGACATTACTCTGACTGAAAGCAACACGGTTTACCAGCAGTTAGAATCTGCTAGTCCCAAAGCTATTGTTAGCTGATAACTCCACAAGCAATCTGTAACAACACAAGGAAAGTTGCAGAACTTGGTGTTTGTGGATGTCTGTCACTTCTTTGTCCAGCCCCCTTCTTCCTACCGGCAAACATTTTCTTTTTTTACTGGCTGTGTCTCTGGTTGAAATGGCTTTGCACCTCCTTTTGCACAGGGACATACCATTTCACACCGTAGCTCTTAAAAAATGGCTTCCTAATCTAAATGGTCCTTTCTTTACCTTAACGTGCAGCTTTCAATATTGGCTATACAGGGGTCTGGAGCATGCTATGGAGGAAGGGGATGGGAATGCTGCAAGAACAAGCCGACTGGATTACAACGTCCACTACCGTCCACTACCGAGGGAAGGAGCAATGCGTGTGAACCGCCGTGGATCCAGGGTTGTCCTGCTCTTCCCCCACCCCGCGCCCCAGCCCACCGGCTCCCTCCCTACCCCCAACCCGGGAGGATCACTTAAAGACCGACTGAAAAGTCGGACATTCATGATTTTTCATTTTCTTCATGAAGTTTTTGAATTCCTTGTTTTTCTTGTCCCACTTGTGGATGGCTGTCAGCAAGTACTGGCTCTTCACTTTCCGGCCCATGATGAGAAAATGGTGGCTGAGGTTGTCCAGCTGGTGGCAGGGGCAGTCGGCCCCGTTCTTCAGGTACAAGACGAGCTTCTTCAGTTCCTTCTTGTTGATGGGTCCCAGCTTTAGGGGCTTCTTCTTTTTGGGGATGATCTTCTTGTCACCATTTTCCTTCTTCACTTCCTTTATTTTCATCCTCAGTGCTAGAAACGGTAGGGCAGGGAGGACGGGAAAAGAGAAGAAGAAAAGGGTATTTTAGAGCACAGTTTTTCATCTAAAACAATAACCCAAGCTTATGGTTGAAGACGAGGCTCAACATGAAAGGCAAACAGCAAGTAAAGGAGGAGGCAGCTTTCTAAACAAAACTCCAGGCCTCAGTTACTCTTTATGCTATGGATTCTGCCCCCTGGGTTTGTGTGTCTGACGGTAGCTCAAAAATTCCACAGAGCGTCATGAGATTCTCAAATAAATGCGCAAAATCGAATCATATTTTTTTTAAACTTTAGTAACTCATAATATCATACAATGCTTTAGAAGGGAATCATCTAATCCAATATAATTCATATAATCTATGCTACAGATCTCAGCATTCAAAGAAAAATATTATCCTGATTTTGTTTTTTTAAGCAAGTTATTTGCTTAGTTTTTTAACATGTAGAGAACCTAAAATTCCCTGAAGGTTGGGTCCTGTAAACAAGACACGTAGAATCTATTTGTGCACCCCTGGGAATGGGAAGTTAAAGAGTACTGCCAATTGTCACACCTGGGGTGCATCAAACACTGAAGTCCAACTTCAGCATCAAAGCAATCAGAGTCCATCAGACTGCGTCTCTAAGACAGCTGTTTTAACAACAGGGACCGTTAATATTCTGTCAACCCAGCAAGCAGACCCTCACAGGATCAGATTCTACTTTGAAATTCTGGCAGATAAGAACAAGTCCTGGTTAAGTCCTCATGGTTAAATCATGGCGCTAATCTCTGTCACTAATTTAATATGGTCCACAAGCTTTAACTCCCAGCAAAAAGAGAAAAACCAGCCCATTCACCAACTCTGAGTTCCTCTTTTGTCCTGAAAAAAACAAAAAAACACCCAACCAAACCTGTTGCTGTCAAGTCAATTCTGACTCATAGCGACCCTATGGAACAGAGTAAAACTGCCCCATAGGGTTTCCAAGGAGCAGCTGGTGGATTTGAACTGCTGAGCTTTGGGTTAGCAACCAAGCTCTTAACCACTGTGCCAGACCCTGAATTAACATTATTTTTAACCTGTGGCCCAAACATTTTAGTGATGGGTATACAGAAACTATTGAAGGTAAACAAGGGTGAAGGCACAGTGTCCGCTGGAAAAGCACTGAACACGTGATGTCACTGATAATACCTCTGCGGGGGAGGCCCTTTAAGACAATTCCCCTTGAAGGTTGGCCAGCCCAATAATTCCAGTGGAGCTGAGAGATATATTTCTTAGATGACAGTCACCAGATAATTTACATATACTCTGAATTCTCTTGAATTCAAAATTACCAAGCCCTCTCGTTTAATAACTCAAAGCTTCCACCCCACCTCCATGAGGAAAGTGCTGAAGGTGAAGTAAATAACAATAGCTAACAATTATAAGGAGCCCCTCGGTAGTGCAAATGGTTTGTGCTCTCTTCTGCTAGCCAGAAGTTTCTCAGTTCAAGTCCACCTCAAGGTGCCTCTTAAGAAAGGCCTGGCGATCTACTTTAAAAAAATCACTGAAAATCCTATGGAACACCGTTCTACTCTGACACACATGAGTTAACAACTATAAAGCATATGACATGTCAGAAAACATGATAAGTATTTTACATGCATCTTCTCATTTAAGCTGAACTCCATGAGGAAGATATAATTATTTTCCCCATCTAACAGATGAGAAAACTGGGCTTAAGAAGTTATAAGTTTACTTGCCCAAAATCACCAATCCTGAACTTAGACCATGTCTGAAAGCATAGTTTTAATCATCATTCTGTCCATACTGACTCTCTGGTCCCCGAATTCTTTATAATGAATTCCAAACTTAAAGTATTAAGTGGACCAAAAACTTAGGGGGAGGAGTTTAGACCTGCTTCCCAGTTCACCTACATTTCAAAATGACTTGACTTGAAATGGTCAAAGACAGGTTGAAAGAGACTACTCTAGCAAAGGAAAACTGCATTTATGGAGACTTTATTATTCAATGTTTAGCTGATGTGAAAAACATACCTTTGGCTAACCCAAGAATAAAGCGGAGAAAAAAATCCTTGGAACAAATCTGTAATGAATGTATCAGAGCCAGTAAACTATAAATACTCTCCCACTGCTTTCTTTTTCTTATGAAAAGAGCTTCAGATTTTTATGCCTACTTAACTCACCAGTTGCTGTTGGGTTGACTCCAACTCATGGGGACCCATGTATGTCAGAGTAGAACTGTGCTCCATAGGGTTTTCAAAGGCTGATTTTTTAGAAGCACATGGCCAGGACTTTCTTCTAAGGCACCTCTGGGTAGACTGGAACCTCTAGCGTTTTGGTTAGCAACCGAGTGTATTAACCATATATACCATCCAGGGACTCCTGCTTAACTCAAGATGCATATAATACCCCAGGCCTGGTACCCCTTAAGAAAGGTCTTGCCCCTGAGGGTGGCAGAAGCTTCAGGAATGGGGCACTAAGGAGCAGACTACATCAGCTGAGGAGTAACATCACTGCTCAGGATGCTCCAGGCTTCCTGGCACATGCAAGCCAGTCGAGTTTAGCTCCCCAATAAGTTTCTTTCTTCTATGCATTTTCCCAGTGAGTTTCCTCCAGGGCAAAAGTAAACCTAGTGATTTCCTGACTTTAGGGTGAGATTCAACAGAACCTCCCAGGTGGGCAGCCATGAGCCAGTGCTGTGTCCTCCCCAGAGAGGGCTCTTCCCCCACCCCAAACCAGCTATTCCCAGTGATTCTGATTATGCTTGACTCCCACCCCCACTGTGGACACAGCCTAGTGGAGATCAGCAGGCTGGAGTGCAGCGAGAAGAAAGCGCAGATACCATCCCTGCAAATCCTCACCCCAGACATCCCCAAAAGGCCCACACCTGGTTCAGCTTCTCCTGTTGGCTTACAGACCTTGTACTTGGTGGGTCACTTCATCAAGAGATGGCACCTGGTCTAGCCCGTGGTTCACTGAATAAGAAAACTTCTCAGCGGGGTTGAGTGAGGGACCAACAAGGGGAGACTCACTGCCCAGGGCTCGGCAAAGTCAAGTCTCCATCACCCCCTCTGCAGAAACAGAGCCAAAGGCGCTGGGAGAAACCACTTTTAAAGGAAGGTTGCAAAGAGCACTGCAGGCAGGCAAGGGAGTGAGAGCAAGTCTGCTCCTTTCACAAGCTCCTCCAAGAAGTGGCCCCAGACTGTTAGATAAGTTCCAAACTACTTCCCAAAGCCTAAGGCTAGGAACCAAGCACTGCTATACCAAAAACCAGACCCACTGCCGCCAAGTGGATTCCAACTCATAGCGACCCTGTAGGACAGAGGAGAACTGCCCCATAGGGTTTCCAAGGCTGCAAATCTTTATGGAAGCAGACGGCCACATCTTTCTCCCACAGAGCGGCTGGTGGGTTCGAACCACCACCTTTCAGTTAGCAGCCAAGCGCTTTAACCACTGCACCACCAGGGCTCCTCAGCATTGCTAGGAGTGACAGATTACATCCAGCCTTCAGATGAAGTGAGCCATCATTTACTGAGGACCTACCACATGCCAGGCTCTGGGATAGGGACTCTATATGCCTCCTAGAGGAGTCAGGTGGCACCACAGTTAAGTGCTCGGCTGCTAATCAAAAATTTGGTAGTCTGAACCCACCAGCCACTCAGCAGGAGAAAAGACCTGGCAACCTGCTCCTGTAAAAATTACAGCCTACGAAACCATATGGGGCAGTTCTATTCTGTCATCTAGGGTTGCTATGAGTAGAAATCGACTCAAGGGCACACAACACCACCATATGGCTCCTTCTTTAATGCTCATAGCAACCAAACTAAGAAGGCATCCTCGTTATCTTATTACAGGAGAAGGACTGAAGGTTAAGTACTGTCAGGACAAGGCCAGTTTCTCAGCGATAGAAACAGGATGAGAACACACATCTAGCCCCAAGTCCACCCTCTTTCCTACCATACTATGACTCCGTTTAAAATGATATTGCTTCAGTGGAAACTATTTCACTCTTTTGATTGTGTTGCTTTTAATCATAACCCAAATAAAAAAAATAATGTTCCTTTGCCATGACCGTGTAAAAGAATCTAGTTTACATGGGTAGGGGGAGCAGGGAGTGGAAAGAGGGGAAATCGAATGATGGAAATGTGTTATGCATTAGACTCTGTATTTCTTGCCATTTGGCTCACTTTCTTTTTTGAGGTGGGGAGAATAGGAAAGGAGAAGGCACATATGGCCAGAAATTACTAACATCTTTCTATCTTTCAAGGATTTATTTTAGGGATGCAGATTACCAACAATGTTTGGATAGGTGATTAGCTGTCCGAGGTTGATTTCCTTGTGGATGTGTGTGCAACCCCCCACCCTGCCACATCCAGAGGCTGCTGGGGCCAGGGTGGTGGCAGCCCAGGAGCAGCCTGGGACTGATCACCACTTCCCTCGACTCCCACCCCCAGCCGTCCTCCCCACCTCCTCCCAACCATGCTGGCAGTGCCCGGCCCCAAGGGATCTTACCCACAAGCTGTGCTCACAGCTTGCAATGCAAATGGTGGTGGTGGGCGGGGAGGAGACACCTCCAGAAGCAGCAGCTGGGGAGACAGTTGGTGTGCTGGATGGAGCCCTGGGTCCTGGGTTCTAACTGTGTGTCCATAAAATCTGGTTTGGAACCCCCCCAGGTCTCCGTATTTCATCTGTCAAGTGCAGGGTGCAGTGTGATTGCCAGCCTGGCAGGTTACCATACAGAGGGCTCATGCTGGGCAATGCTGCGAAACGCTGGGCAGCCAGCAACGTTCATCTTCAGCACGTATCCGCCACCTGAGCTCTTCTTCTCTTCTCGTACCACGTGCCCATCTCACCCTGGAGGATAATGCTACCTACCACTATGATCTAAGGCCCTTGATCTCAGCTACCTGTAAGAGCTGGACTGTGAACTAAAAATAAGATGAATTAATTTTTCATAAAAATTCTCATCTAGCAACAACTTAACATCCTCCAAGGGTAGGACATTACTCGCACC